GATATTCTTTTCAGAATGTGCACATTATGATGTTCTTCAGAATTACTACTACTACTACTACTAATAATAATAATAATAATAATAATTAGAAGAAGAAGAAGTTTAAGAGTATGATGAAAGAAATTTATTGGAAGAAGGAAATGAGAATAAAGATGAAGAAAACAAAAAGAACAGCAACAAGAACAAGAAACATGAAAAGAAGATGAAGAAAAAAAGAAAAAAGGGGACTAAAAGTGGAGGAGATGGGAGAAGTGAAAAAGAAGAAAAAAGATTAGAAGTAAAAAGAAAGAGAAGAAATTTAAGAATAGTTTGAAATAAAATTATTGAAAGGAGGAAATGAGAATAAAGTTAGAAAACGAAGAAGAAGAAGAAGAAGAAGAAGAAGAAAATGAGACTTACCAAGTGGCAGGAAGAAATGGAAATCGGTGGAAGAATTGGAATCATCCAGGTAAGCACAAAACTAATATCTTAATATCGAGAAGAGTCTTGGAATAATAAAAAGAATTTGTCTTCAGTAAAAGCATCTTCTGGTAGGATTGCTCCACAATCAAATAATAATGCTAAATGTAAAAACAAAAAAAAAAAAAAACAGCATACTGAGGAAGGTGCGAAAGAAATGAGGAGACTTGCTGTCACTTGATATTCAGTGAAAATCCTCAGATAAGTATGCAGAGTCAACGCCAAACAAATAGTACTGGTTAAAAGCATTAAATCATTGTGCTGAACAAATTCGATCAGTGTTTGTTCGGTCAGCACTCACCGTGATATATTTACATTAAAGCCGCCTATTGAAAATGAGTTGACGTGAAAGTAAAGCCTCGATTTGCTTATGTCTTTCTTCTTCTGTTTCTCTGTTTTGTCCAATGGAAGACGACATTTACTTTTCTTGGTAAATGCATAAAAAAAGACACCGTCGTGCGATTCTCTTTTGATAATCTTCTACTCTCATCTCGGAATTCACTTTTTAAATCTGGATATCATATTTATATAATAATACTACTAATAATGTGAAATATCTGACATGACTCGAGAATTAATCTCGCAGGCGATTGCTAATGTGTTTAGTTCGACACACACACACATATATATATATAAATATATATATATGTGTGTGTGTGTGTGTGTATGTGTGTGTTTATGTGTGTTTGTGTGTCTGTGTGTGTATTTAGGCAGCAATCCTTCTTTCATGCACATTTCATTGAATACGACAAACAAGATGCTTTGATTTAGTTTTTTTATACAATTTCTCATGTGATCTAATAATTTTTTCTTTTCGAATGATAAATTATATAAAAACTGTCCAATTGTTCTTTTTATCCGAGTGCTTTTGGCTATACATTTAGCCATTTTTAAGGTTGAAATATATTAGCTGTTAACAGGAAATAGCTTGTTGTATGTATGTATTTATAGAATGTTTTCATTTTCAAAACCCGGTCAAGATATTGTGTCCATGTTCATAGTTGATTATTTATTATTCATAGTATAAATAAATATAAAAGTGAACATTGAAGTCGTCAACACTCAAAAGCGACAAACCGTTTCCTGTTAAACGCAATCATCAGGTGGCTTGGTGATTGCATTTATTATGAAACAGTCTGTTACCTCTGAGTGTTGACGTCAATGTTCACCTTTATATATATATATATATATATATATATATATATATATATATATATATGTATTCGTAGACGTTTTATTAAATAATATAGACAAGTGTTGTCTATTTTATGTAAATTCTTTTCATAACGTCTAATAAGTTTAATACCATTATCATTGAACGAAGAAAGAAATTCACAATATTGATCCATATTTTTTAATACAATCTAAGCTTTCGGCTTACATAAGCCATTATCAAAGATGTCAATTACAACATATTAAGCAATATACGGACAAGACAGTGATGATAGTCTGTGATTGTTTACATAGATGATTTCTAAGCAACGATAAACACGTGCATATAAGACGCTAGAAGCGAAAATCGCACCGCATCTCATGACGTCACACATGACCCTGCGAGAGTGAATTGGAGAAGTATGAAGTATGGGAAGCCGTTGGTATAAATATATAAATATTTGTTCATATATATATATATATATATATATATATATATATATATATATATATATATATTTGTACATATATGTATGTAAATATTTGTATATATATATATATATATAAATATTTGTACATATATGTATGTAAATATTTGTATATATATATATATACACTCACAAAGGCGCTTTCATAAATCAGCAATCAATGTAACATCAATTTGGTTTCTATTAATCTCAGGTAGGATAACATCCACTGGACCACCGACCTTGTCATTCTAAGATAGAAAAGACTTATTGTACCGCCGACGATGGGAATCTTCAATAGGATAGAGACACTTGTACCGCCTACTTTGACAATTTTAGCATAGAACCACTTCTATCGTCCAATCTGGTATACTCCAATAGAAAAAGTCCACTTCTACGTCCCACTTTGACAATTTTAAATTAGATGGAGTCATTGAATCGTCCACATTGGTTATCTCAGGTTAGTGTCACTTGTACGTTTCACTTTCAAACTCGAATAAGATAAAGGCTACTTGGACTGCCTATGTTGACAATCTCAGGTAGGATAGAACTAATTCTCCCTCCCACTTTGGGAATGTCAATAGCTCAGGATAAATTTACTTTTACCGCCCACATTAGGAATCTCAGAATAGAGTCACTTGTAAGGCCCCCTTTGGAATCTCAGAGTAGAGCCACTTGTACGACCCATTTTGGGAATCTCAGATAAGATAGAGTCACTTATACCGCCCACTTTGGTAATCTCAGAGTAGAACCTCTTGTATCGCCTACTTTGGAAATCTCAGGGTAGAGCTCACTATAAGAATCTCAGACAGGACAGAACCACTTGTACAGTCCACTTAAGGAATATCAATTGCAGTGAGTAGACTTGCTGTCACTTGATCTTCAGGAGTCGTTATGTACTTATTCTGGTTTAGCGAAATTAATTAAACTAGAACAATGACGAAATTGTGAAAAAAAAATCGTGAGGCCTATTCTGATCTGATAACTGTGCAAATTATTGTTTTTAGAACAAGGAAGTTGAATGTACGCTGTATAAACTAGTATATGGCTCAGAGATTTAAAAAATAGCCAGTATTTGGAGATTTAAACGGATTACCTAATCCAGGCGAGAAGACAAGATTTAGTAGATCTATTTGTCAACAACGAGAAGAAAATCTTTAACGCTCTGTAATTATTCTAAAATTTTAAATTTATCCGTTGCAGTTATTTATGGATTAATTGCAAAATCGTTTCAGTATAAGGGAGCTGACCGGGAATTGGTAGAAATGTAAAATGGCATTAGTACAGTAATGTTATATGCGCTTTAATATGTTGCTGCTATAGCCATAATAAATTTTGTTGAGCCTTCCCTGATGAAATTCTCACTTCTCATTCAGCGTTATTATTTTGTTGTAATCCATCTATTATGAGTGCTTCTTGAACGTCGAATTGAATGAAATTTTAGTATACAAAAAAGAGTGCAAAGAAGAAGACCAAAGAGTCGAACTAATGAAACATTGTCAAGATAACAACCAAGATTATAATGCTTGTCCGATGAGCTATTAAAGTTATTTGTATTTAGACAGATTTCTAAATTCATATGTATGTAGTTAGCTGCTGTGATCGACGTCTGCGAAGGGAAGATGCTAAAGATTTTGCGAAGAAAGAAAGACTTTTTTTTATTCGTTAATGACAAATAATGTTAGGAAAATTTGTTTGTTAAGAAATCGAAGAAAAAAAAGTAAGAAAGAACGGAAATTGGTTTTTCTGTCTTCTTCTCTTTGATTAAGAACAGCATAAGTGCTGTTTATTTTACTTTTTTTATAATTCTTTTTTCTTTTCTTCGTTTTTTTTCGTTCGATCTATTTTATACTCAAAACCCTCAAGATATTTTTGATAGTATTTTTACGAAGACTAATTTGACGAAAGCAAAACTATGAGATGAAAAAACTACAGTCGAATCCCTCATATCCGGAATCTCTCATATCCGGAATCCCACATATCCGGACATGATTTTGATGTGTATATATGAACTGTCTGGGTGATATGTAACTAATTTGAAGTTTCTGTTTTTCAGGAAATATACTTTGGATAACTGCTTATGCTTATTTCATCCTAATGGCTTGTATTGGTGCAAAAGATGATAGGAATAAGAGGAGAAGAACAACTTTGGAGTAATCTCAAAAAGTGGAGATTTTAAACAGACTAGAAGCTGTTGAAAGTTTATTGTAACTAATGGTTGATTTCAACATAGGAAATTCAACATTGTATGATATAAAATCTTCCAAGGAAACTATTGTCCAGCGTTCACACTGTCACAATGAATAAGCAAATAAAAACATGATTGTGATGTAACCTGGACTGAAATGGAAAAAAAACTATTGAATATGTTGTCAGTTTTATGGAAAGAAAGCCAGCATTCAGCTATGACGATTGCAATAACGCACGCATTGTTAAAAAGTGTCTTTCGTATAAAAAATTCAAGAACAAAAGTAAAACGAAATGCAGAAAAAGTAAAGACTGACATTAGAAGAGAAAGAATCATCATGCAACAGCGATTAAAAAATCCTCGTTATATTATTTATTTTGCATACGTGGTATACTTAATTTAATGAATTCTCATTAACATTATATAATTTATTTCTTTTTCCTTAAAATCAATTCCGTTATATTTCACTCACCAGCTTATTTTGTTTACTATAAAACATTGAAAATAAATGTTAAACTTGATTTCAGTTCTTTTATTTTAATCTAAATATAACTCCTCATATCCGGACTTTGTAATCAATTCTTCATATCCGGAATCCCTCATATCCGAACTCTGTAACCAATTCCTCATATCCGGAATCCCTCAAATCCGGAAAACCTTCTTAGTCCGATTGTCAAGGATTCTATTGTTAAAGTCAAAGATACTAAAAGTGATAGGAGTAGAGATCATTTCAGAATTTGGAAGTGTCGGATTTTCTCCCTTTCTTTCTTTCTTTCTTTCTTTCTTTCTTTCTTTCTTTCTTCCTTTCTTTCTTTTTTTCTTTCTTTATTTATTTATTTGCTTGTACAGATTTCTTGCAAAATGCAAGATGAGTACAAACTTTATAGCTAGAGGCATAGAGAAATTATGTTATAATAGCTGGAGTATAGATAAATGGATATTTTTTTATTATCAGTGTCAAAATTTGTTTCAACAGAACTGAGATTTTTTCAATTTATGTACACTCCCTTTTGATATCTTAGTTTTAATTAGATCTATCTATCTATCATCCAGCAGCAAGAACACTGATCAGGAGGTTTTGAGGAACGTGGAACCACCTCTTAATTGCTGTTACCAGGTTCACTCTGACCCAGGATGGTAGCACCTGTTAGGTTCCCAAACATGGGCAAATAGGTTAACCACAAACTGGGACCAAAACACTATGACAGTATAAAAATAGATGTTTATAGTAAAAACACCAGCAATACATTTATGAAAAAAAAATTACCATCAGTACATTTGTTTCTCGACAAAAGCCATCTTTAGAAAAGTAGTTCACTGAAACCTGATCTACAAACTAATTTCTTACAAAGAATAAATATTCTATTCGTACGAGACTATTCTAAAACAAAACTGTCGGGATTAAATAATAGATTAAGTTTGATATACCGTAAAATAAACCACCCAGCTACCCAAGTCTGTTCAGGCCTGCCTGCCTGCTTGACTATCTATCTATCTATCTATCTATCTATCTATCTATCTATCTATTGCTTTCATTTTCTCTGTAAGGATCTATCTATCTATCTATCTATCTATCTATCTATCTATCTATCTATCTATCTATCTATCTATCTATTTCTATTGCTCTCATTTTCTCTGTAAGGATCTATCTATCTATCTATCTATCTATCTATCTATCTATCTATCTATACATTTTAATACCAGCAATATATTTTTGTAAAAATTATTACCAGCAATACATTATTACCAGCAATTATTACCTGGAATATATTTTGGAAAAATAAAAAAAAATCTTACCAGCAATAAAAATCTTGTCGGCATTAAATAAGCCATTATGGCTGATATGCCGTAAAACAAAACAAACCAAACCAATCTTTATTTCACATTCCGTTAATATCTAATTATAGAAGGATATACTAATCTCGCTCTAATTTAACTTGAACTTGCTTAAACTTGCTTAAATATAGGTGAAAATGTTTTCAGTATAGGTAGATTTTGCATGGGATCAACTTTACACATTTTCATGATAATCCAAAACTCAACTGCGTTTCATTGTTTGTTCAGTGAGCTTTAAACCTTGTCATGTCTGGTGACTGTCTCCTCAATTTAGTAACACTTCTGAACTATCCAGTGACTTCGTTTATCTTTTCTTTTGATTGGTTTCATCTCATTTTTCAACTGGACCTGTAATAATGGATGAAAAGATCAGCTTCAATCTCAGCAAATTCTTATGCTCTTTGGCAAAATCCATATATTTTCCGTTTTGCTGGTGGGACTGTTTTGTTTTACGACATATAAATTATTGAAATATGGAATTGATTACCGAAAGGTAGAAGGTGCCTATAGTAATCAGAGCGTTAAGAACAGCGTCAGAGATTTGTGTTCATTTGGTTGAAAGCCTTAGATCAGGGGTTTGTCAACATTGCTTGCCCCCCATGCACCCTTTTCACCATTTGTCAGAATGCAATTCCCCACCTCCTTTTCAAGGTGACAGGTCAGATAGGCCAAATTCTATACTTGCTCTCCTCCCCACAAAACTTACGATTCACCCCTGAAAATCCAACATTCACCCCCTTGGGGTGAATTTCACTTCTGTTGAGAACCCCTGCCTAAAATTTTCCAATGGATAATCTGTTGCAGAACGTTTGAGTTTTTTTTTAGAGGGGAGGGGCGGTTTTATGCCTGTGACTGCTTTCGATAACGACTGCATTGACTACCCAGGATTTTATGTTTTGTATTCTCCCTAGTGAGTATTTGAAACCAGTACTACAGCATGCAATAACGGGTGCCTGAGTATTGGCCGTAAATATGAAACTTTAAGTTGTGGCCGGCCGAAGCAGTCATCTTTTTTTTAGAAATAGTATATGTTTTATCATGAAGTATTGAGCCTAAACACGTACTGGATGCCTAAGTGTGCGTGATGTAGCCTAATATCCAGTAGGTCAAAAATCAGTTTATAACATCCAATAAGCTATCCAAAAAACATATGATAACATTATGCTTAGAACAAGATTAAATATCCAATCATGTACTTTGCTCTCCACTCCAGGCCATGTTGGGGTATTACCTGAAGCAGAAAATAAATGGCATTTAATATACTTCATAGAGATATGAATTTTCTTCTTTTATCTTCATATGTTTATTTTTTATTAACCTTTGAAATCGAGGCAACCATTTTGCCCCACCCTGTATATGAAATAGCACAGATGTAATACAAAGTAGATATACAGTATATAAATGGTACGGTGGAACGGTGAACAGCCAAGAACTGTGCAAAGAGCTCAGATTTGATTATGTCATCCAATAAATAGTATGAGTACAGAACAAAATCTGTCGGAGAAAATAAAGCTAGTAAAATTTCATGGGACTTGAGGAAAATATTGAGATCATATGGAAAATGTGTTGAATAGAAGATTTCGCTGCAGGAACAGAAGGAATAGTCCACAAGAACACTAAAGTATATGATGAATGGTTCGAGCAATCACTTCCAGACCTGACCTAATCACTGTGAGCAAATCGTATAAGATCTTGCGCATAGTTTATAACACTGATACAATAAACAACAATGTCCCAAAAAATGGTTGATAGCGACTCAGAATGAAAAATCAGAGAACCGAGTTCGAAACCCAGTCGGGTTCTTTACATTTACTCTTGATACATTGTTTTCAAGACTTTGATTTCCTTGTATTTTACTATTAAAACTTTCTAACAAATGATGTAATTCTTGACTGCATGGGTACACAAGTTATAAATAAATATCCGACTAATAATATACAATAATAATAATAATAATGTGGTGCAATCGGTTTCGGCTCGGATTGAGAGGAATCGGAGAGCCGAGTGCCAATTCTAGTTGAGTTCATTACTACTAATACCCTTGTGAATGGTATGAATCCATCTCTTCTTCTACCAACTAGCAGCACTGACTGGGTTCTATAGCTTTGGGTAGCAACCGCTCTAAGAGAAAACAAAAAAAAACTCTGAATTCAAAACCAGCCTGGTCCAACCACCTGCTGCCATGGAGGTCCTGCCTCTTTAAACAAAACAAAAAGGCGAGAAGAAGATAACAAAAAAATCTATCTCACGTCTCATCCCGAAGAAAAAAAGAAATTGTTCCTTTCGTTATTACTTTGGGCCGAGATAGAAAATAATGGACTCCTTGGACTTAGTACAATGGTTCGGAACTTTGGGACACGGCGCTGTGGACCTCTCTGATTTAGGAACATTTACCAATGGCACATTAGACAATGAATAATAATAACAAGAATTAGTAGTAATAATAGTAGTAATAGTCTTTTCGAATTTATTTCATCGACTTACTATATCTAGATTCTGTAAGAACAATACTTGAATTATCTCCTTCCCCCTCTCTTTCTCTCTCTCTCCACACACACACACACACATATATATATATATATAAAAAAAAGTGATTTATATAATACCATGATTAATCAATGAATCATAGATACTATTGGATGTCTAAGAAATATAAAGGAAACGGTTTAATTAAACGGTTCATTAGTTTCTATGTTTGTTGTGAAATCTTTATCTTCGCTTTCTTGGATCTCAATACATTTTTTCAAGACTTTTATTTCTTTGCATTTTACTATTAAATCTTTCTAACAATTGATGTTATTTTTGACTGCATGTGTTCACAAGATATAATTAATATTTTTTGTATATTCTTAAGCAAAGAGACAAAATAGAAACATGATGAGAAAATAAAAATATTTTCTTTGAGGCAGAGGCAAAACCGAAATTTCCTATTTTTAACATTTTTTCTCATCAAGATTCTATTTTTTTATATCCGACTATTTTGAGGAATCGGAGAGCTGAGTTCGAACTCCAGTTGAATTCATTACTGCTAATACCCTTGTGAATGGTATGAATCCATTTCGTTTCCATGCTCTGTGTTAAATAGTAGGACATATATCTGGAAAAATCATCGTTAATACTTCCAATCAGTTTATATTTTTTTAAAAAAGCATAAGAGTTATATAATCTCTAACATAATGGTAATGATAATATAAGCCGTTTTCTTATAAGGAAACATTTGGTATTCATTGACCGAATTGCTGTTGGTTTATATTTATGAAACTTTTACATAAAAGAATTTTTCCAGAAAATAGGTTTCTCAAGACTAGTAGCTGTTATCGTTCTTTCTAATATTGATAGTGTTTTCCTTACTAAACTTTTGATTAAAATAGTATGGACCGTCAGCGTATTATTATTTCCTCTTTGAGTTACACGTGTTATCCATTTTAGTTGTTGCCGCTGTTGAAAGTCTTCAAGTAATATGGTTTATTTTGTTTGGTGTAGTCCTGTGTTTGTGATTCTATAGCGCCAGTTCACAAGTTTTGAAGAAGTGTGGCCTTTGCCAAGACCCACAGGCACCACTCTCACAAATCCATTTTTAACTAATGATCTTAGAAAGCGGTTTTATATAGGTGACAGTTTGGATATTGCTGTACGGGTTTGATGCCATGCATGACATCTATATCAAAATCTCGGTCTGACGAGACTAAGAATGGGACTCGAGTTTTCAAGATTATTATTATTATTATTGTAGCTATTATTATTTCCTTGTATATCCACATTTCATTCTGGGGCCCAACCAGAAACCTAATGTTAGATATGGCATCATGACATTTTTCACTGAACATTAAAAAGAAATGAACAGCTTAAGATCACACACATTTTGCATAGATAAAGCCATTCGTATGGTGTGAGCTGTACTTGTGAGTACAATTTTTTTTTAAATTCTTTAAGGCATGGGCTACCAGGGATTCCTTCAATGAGTCTATCGGAACCTTGTCCCAAAAAACCGAGGACTTCAATTACAGGGAATGGAATGTTCCGGCCTAGGTCATTTGTTGTCACTAATTCGGTGTAGCCGATTCAGCATAGTTTTCTGTCTATCTTTTTTGCTTCGTAGTCCTATTTGTACTTCGTAGTTAAATGTCTGAATAGTTCAATTTAAGAAAAAGAGGAAAGCAATAGTAAGATACTCGTATTTGGAAGAATAAACTGCTTTTAACATTTAGTCTACTCAGGTTTGCTGACAGAACTTTCACTATTGCACCTAATATTTTTCATCGGGTGTATGTTATGTATCAGAATGGATGTTGAATCATTAGATCCTATTGAGTTCCTGAACGGCACTGTTCACGATTACGAAAGTCATATTGAAAGTTGATTGTTTTTATGCATTTATCCTTTTTTTGGCCGGGGGGGGGGGTGGCGCTCAAAGACAGCGACGTCGAAATAGTCTGACGCCGAAAGGTCTGTGCTGAATAGTCCAATTAATTTTCTGACGGCGAATCGGTTACCCCGAATCAGCGACGCCGAATGGGCTACCCTGTAACGTACCAAACCCCTTCAAGATGGTTTTAAAATCAAAGTGCTTCTCTTACACTGGTCTCCAACCACGGCTAGTGAGAACAAAACTGGAGGAAGAAGGGATGGATTTTATGGCTTAGGGATTTAAATGAACTGCTGATTTAGCGACGCCAAGAAGATGAATTAAAGATGATAATGACAAGGAAACACAAGGGTAATTATTCCATTGGTGTTTTAATTGGATCCTCAATTCCCTAAATGAATAAAAAAAGTCATATTGAAAGTTGGGTGTTTTCAAAGCT